ACTGGGTAGAATGTGCTCACCTCGAGGCCTTTGGTCTTTTTTTCCATAAGCTTCGTCACCTGATTGAAAAAGCAGAGTAGACTCGGTATTTAGGCTCACAACAGGAAAACCTCCCCTTCGTTTCCTCAAAGAAACTCCATTAATCTGCACAGCTGCAGGCGCGTCTCCAGCTGTTAAAGCCTTTCAGCTTTTCAGAGGGTGAGAATGCCCTGCTAAGGAAGGCTGAAAAATGCTGGGAGCCTGCCCAGGTCAAAGAGCCCCTTGATTTTGTCTGTGTTCCAGTCCCTGGCTAAAGAAAGGGCAGAACCACCGCAGGTGTTGCTTGCCTTTTCCCTACGAGGTTTTGCCAGGCGCTGGGCCAGCCCGGGCCCTCCGGGGGAAGGCCGGCAGTGGCCAAACCCCGCCGCTTTCCCAGGGCAAGCGTCGCTTGCGAGAGCGCCCCCGAGCGCCGGGCCCTGCCTCACAGTCGCCGCCTGGCGGACACGGCCGGGAGCGGCACTGCAGCCGCGCGCGGCGCTGCAGCCGCGCGCCCCCCCCCCCTTGGCGAGACCCGCGGCGCCTTTCGCGCGTCCGGGCCTTTCTTCCCTAAAACCTGCCCTTGCCTAGGAAAAGCTGAGCAGTTCACAGAGTTGCTGTTTCCAGCCCAGCTTCCCAAAGGATTTCTCTCTCCCGGCAGCACAGACAGGGTCCCCGAGGCAGCGCAGACCCTCCCCGCGGGGGGGTGTGGTGCGTGTGCAATGCCAGGGCACATCCGAACCCGGCCCTGCGGCGGCACGCAGGTGCAAGTTTCTCCGCAGAGGCGAGAAAGCTGCCCGTCGCTTCCCCTGCCTGCAGGCCCCGCTGGCCGCGGGAGAGGCAGAAGAGCGGCCGCCGCCCCCCCGCCGGGCCCCCGCTTACCCCGGCGACGATCTCCTGCAGAGCCCGACGTCGGATCTGCCGCCGTGGGTCGCTTCCGGGGGGGGGAGGCGGCGGCGCAGCCCCGACAGCATGTCCGGGGCACGGCGGGACCGACCGGGAGCGGAGCGGGGCGGAACGGGGCGGGCGGACGGCGACCGCCTGAGATCGGCGCGCGTGCGCGGCGCGCCGCGGCGCGAGAGGGGTCTGCCCGCGCCGGTGCCTGCCGCCGCCCGCGAACCTGCCGCCCGCGCCCGGCGCCGCCGAGCGCCCCGCCCCGTCCCCACAGCGGGAAGCGGCGCGGCGAGACGGCGCTGCGGGCGCGGGGCGGGGGTCGTCCGGGTCGCGGCGGAGGTCAGGCAACAGGATAGACGCCTCTCTGAGGCCAGGGCGGGGGCCTCTCGCCGCCATCTTGAGTGTGGCCTCGGCTAAGTTCCGGTCCTGGCGGCGCCATCTTGAGTGTGGCGTCGGGGCGAACTTCCGGGCCGGGGCCGCCATCTTTAGTGTGGTCGTTCCGGTCCCGGCGGCGCCATCTTTACTGTGGGCTTGGCGGACTGCCGGGCCGGGGCCTTGGAGGACTTCCGGTCGCTCTCTACTTCCGGTGACCGAGTTTACCCAAATTACCGGCCCTCCTCGCTAATTTCTGCGCTTTCACCCCAAAAAATCTTCACGTTATTCCCCCCACACACACCCCGCCAGAGACGGGAGACCGCCAGTCCCGCCCTGCCGCCGGAACCGGCCCTTAACTCGAGCGGGGAGCGCTGCACCGCCACGAGAGCCACTGCGCATGCGTCGCCGGTCCCGCTCCTGGCTGCCCTTACTTACCACGTGATCGCCGGCGTCTTGCCAACGACTGCGCACGCGCCGCCGTCGCCACCTTGCCTGCCCCCCCACCCCGCCGCCCGACCGCCCGGCTTCGCTTTCTTACTGCGGCTCCCCCTCCGCTTTTTCGGCTCCCTGGGGTTCCCCCACCCGCATTTTGGGATCCCCGTCTCACATTTGAGGGGTGATGACCCCGCAATTTACGGGTCGGGGGGCGGGAGGAGAGGAAACGGGGTGCCCAAGAAGGGGTTTCTTTTTTTTTTTTCTTTTTTTTTTTCTCTTTTATTTCATTTTCATTTTATTTCCTTTTTAGTTTTTTTGCCTTTTTTTTTTTAATTTTCTTTTGTTTTTTATGTTTCATTTTTTTATTTCGTTTATTTTTTATTCTCTTTATTTTTCATTTTCTCTCCCAGTGCTCCCCAGTAAACACCCAGTGCTCCCCAACAACCCCCAGGAACACCCAGTGCTCCCCAAAAATTGACCCAAAACCGACCCAAATCACCCCAAACAATGACCCAAAACTGACCCCAAAACCTGACCCAAATCATCCCAAAAGCTGACCCAAAACTGACCCCAATCATCCCAAAACCTGACCCAAAACTCTGCATTTATTTGGCACCATTTCCTCCCAGAAACAACATCTCCGATTTAGTTGATTGCTAAAGCCATCATTTTAAAACCATCTCAGGAATCAAAAGGGACTGGAAAACACACACAAATCATTCCTGCACCCACCAAATCATTAGGAATTGGAACCCGATTCCCTCATCTCCCTCCTTGTGCTTCTTGGCTGGAAAACCTGATGATCCCCACTGGCTATTTTTAGGCTGCTTTTCTTCCACAGCTCCTTTCCTCCCGGCTGAAACCTCCTGGCATATTCAGGGCTTATCCGGAGGGAAGCCCCTCTGAGGTATTTCCTCTCGTGGCAATTCTGTGGGATGAAGAAGGAGAAAAAGCACGTCAGGAGCTCCTTCTCCCCCCTTCCCTCGCAAACACCCTCCCAGTTTGTCCTTGGCAGCTCCATCCCCCCGGCACCCGCACCCGACGCTTCGGCTCCGCTGGGAAAGGGACAGCAAGTGCACAAGCAAGTTCAGTGCTGGGCAGGGGCTCCCTGGGGAACGGCACTTCAGTGCTTTAGTCCGTGGCCTTTCCTGCTGCCCTCCCTCCCGGAGGCAGAGGATGACCCGGCCCTTGTTTCTCCCACGCTCGCAGACCCAGGTCCTGCTCCTTTGGCCCCACTTTTCTTAGCAGACCCGGCATCATTTCCCAGGGTCCCCAGGAAACTTCTGCACTTGACCCATTGCTGAGTGCAGAGCACAGGGCGAGGGAAGGACAAATTTCTCGGCACCCACCCCCTGGAATTTTCCTTCTCCGCAGCACGCTCCCGTTCCCGCTGTCTCTGGAGGTGCCCGCACGAGTCCTCCTTCTCCCAGCACCTCAGAGAATGTCCTCTTCACCCGGGTCCTGCTTACCGGCGTCCAACAAAACACGCTGACGACATTTTTCAGGATGCCAGTGGAGAGATATTAGAGCACACTGCACAGGGAAGCTGAGCCTGCCCCATCCCTGCAAGTGTTCCAGGCCGGGCTGGATGGGACTCGCAGCACCCGGGGACAGTGGAAGGTGTCCCTGCCCACGGAAGACAGGCTGGCCTTTGAAGGTCCCCTTCAAACCAAATCGCTCTGGGATTCCCCTCCAAAAGCACTCCCCAAGAGACACAGCGAGCAAAGCAGAGGGACTGCACTCCCAGCTTTTCTTACCTGCGGGCACACACAGCACAGCACAGCACAGCACGTTGGACAGAAAAGCCACGGGGTTAGTCCTGCCAGAGGCGTCCGGCACACCCACGGCCACCGAAGGGAAACAGGGAGCCTGGGAACACGGAGTAAAAGACACCTTAATTAGGACCACACTGAGAAATAGCCAGGTCATTCCCACAGCTTCACCGTCCGGTCACACAAAAAGCACTCACCGAGGCCTCAGTTAGGATGGCTCCTGACGCTGACCAGGTGAATACCTCCATTTGCCCCGGGGGGTCAAGAAGAACATCCCTGGGAAGAAGTCACCCTGAACAACAAAAAGGCAAAATTAGTGAAGCACGGGGGCCTCTTCTGACTAGATTGCCACCAGCATTCCATAGCAAATGCCACGACTGTTCTGTTACAGACGAGAAAACCCTGTTCTCCCAAACAAACAGCCAGGAGATTTATGGGCACGCCTGAAAATTTCCTGTGAGGAACTTTTTGTAACTAAGGAGCAGGTGCTATCTTGAGTTGAAGGCATCAATTTGACAGACACGTAGTACAGCAAACTCTTCAGCAGAGCAATTAATTGCTGCCTATTTGAACAGTAGGGGAGAGAAAATGACAGTCTAACAGAAGACAAGAAAAGCAGAACTGGAATCAGCAGCCTTTTCTTCCATCTCTCCCGAGAAAGTCGTGTTTCTCTGTTCTAACAATTCTATGCCCTTTTCTACGTGAAACTTACACCAAGGCTGAAAAAACAACTAGAAAACACGGAGAGAAGCTTTTTAGAATTTCACGTGATTTTCCCAACCCGATCCCAGAAAAGCAGAACTGGGTAGAATGGACTCACCTCGAGGCCTTTGGTCTTTTTTTCCATAAGCTTCGTCACCTGCTTGAAAAAACAGAGTAGACTCGGTATTTAGGCTCACAACAGGAAAACTTCCCCTTCGTTTCCTAAAAGAAAGGACATTAATCTGCACAGCTGCAGGCGCGTCTCCAGCTGTTAAAGCCTTTCAGCTTTTCAGAGGGTGAGAATGCCCTGCGAAGGAAGGCTGAAAAATGCTGGGAGCCTGCCCAGGTCAAAGAGCCCCTTGATTTTGTCCGTGTTCCAGTCCCTGGCTAAAGAAAGGGCAGAACAACCGCAGTCGTTCCCTGCCTTTTCACTAAGAGGTTTTGCCAGGTGCTGGGGCCAGCCCGGGCACTGCCGGGGCAGCCCGAGCTTTCTGCGCTGGCCCCTTTTGTCCGGGAGGAACCTCCGTCCCTGTTCGATCCTGGCAATCGGACTGGCAACGCAAGCCAAGTCACCGGCAGAATTCTGCACCTTTGGTCTCCTTGGAGCGCCCACGGCGAGGGGAAAAAGAACCTGTGGGTCACTGTCCTGAGGACGGAAACCAACAAAACCACACCACCGGACCGAATTCACCTGCAGAAGCCCAAATTCACCGAACGCCTGCTGAACTCCGCAGGAACACACTCCCTCGACCCCAAGGCATCCTTAGGACGCCTCCGAGCCCGGACTGAAGCTCGGAGAAGCCCGGCACTGACCAAACACCGCCGCTCGCCGCCCCCGACCGCCGGGCGCTGCCTCGCAGTCGCCGCCTGGCGGACACGGCCGGGAGCGGCACTGCAGCCGCGCCCCCCCCCCTTGCGAGACCCGCGGCGCCTTTCGCGAGGACGGGCCTTTCTTCCCGAAAACCTGCCCTTCCCTAGGAAAAGGCGAGCAATTCACAGAGTTGCTGGTTTTATCCCGGCTTCCCAAAGGACTTCTCTCTCCCGGCGGCAGCGGCGGCAGCAGCGGCAACGCTCCCCGGGAAGCCCTGACCGAGGCTGGGAACTGACACACAACAAGCCAAGAGCATTAACTCGGCCCCAAAACACTCCACAACAAACCAATTGACAGTCACCTTTGCCTCCTCTCCCCCGCGCAGGCACAGGCTTTGGGATTCCAAGGCAAAGCTCGAGAGGCCCAGAGAGCAGCAGCCCCTCAGCCCCAGCACGGCCTCCCCCGGGCTCCCCCGGCCGGGAACCGGCCCAGCCAGCCCCTGCTGTGCAGCACAGCAGGCGGGGGGGTGACTTTTGGGACCCCTCCCTGGCCACTGCAGAGCAATGCAGGCATCGGGGCCAAGTCCTGCCCGGCCCCCGGGCACTGCAGACAGTTCAGCCCCAGCAGCAGCAGCAGCAGCAGCAGCAGCGGGCTGTTCTGCCTCTTGCTCCCCTCTCATTTGGAACCGAATGGTGAGGAACAAGCCCCGGGCACAATCGGCACCGAGCAGCAAGGCCTGGGCTCACCAGAGGCCCGGGCCTGCCTACTCCAGGCTCTGGGCTTCCTTTGCTTTCTTCCGCCGCAATTCTCCTGCCCCGGCAAGCGTTCAAAGACAGACTGCCCGCTGAGACGTGCCCCGAAACAGCCATCAGTTCCCAGGCCAGAAAATCTCAGCGCCACACTTGGAAACCCTGCCGCGAGGCCCCCGGAGAAGCCAAGGGGAGCTGGGATTCCCTGGAGTCCCAGAGAACCGAGGGGAAGGTGGCAAAGGGGCAGAGAGCAAACCCCCCCCAGCTGCTTCTCCCCGCAGCCCCCAGGGCAGGTGCAGCGAACACACACCGGTGTAGAGTTTTTAGGAGAGCTTTACAATAAATTAAAAAACAATCAGTTTACTGAAAAATCCTTCTGCAGTCCACGCTGTCTAACAATTCAAATTGCTCACTAAGAGAACTAAAAAAAAAAAATTGCAAGTAGTGAGACTCACATTGCAAATAAGTCTTTGCTTTAAAAAGAAACAGAAAAAAGAACCCAAAACACCAAAACAGAGCTGTGAGGGGAACCAAAACATGTCTGGATAAGAACTAGTAATTGTAAGCTCTCACCTGCAGGAGCTTCAGCTTGTCAGCGGTTCCCAGCTCCCACGTTGGGCAGATTTTGTGATTTTAGCAGCCCCTCAGCTGCCTGGCAAGGCTCGTGTCCCACCCGAGAATGCTGCTTTCACCCCAAGTTCAGGTCTGGAAGCAATACATGGCGTAGCAGAGGACTGGATAGAAGGACCTACTGCTGCCACTCCCCTTGGAGCAGAAGCCACTGGCTGTGGGGAAATCCCACCTGAAGAAACCTTGGGGGAAAAAAAAAAAGACGAACACGTCAAGAATTTTAGGCCGCAGGATCCATCCATCAGAGCTTGAAACAGAAGTCACAAAGGAGAAAACAAGCAGCAAATGATACTCCAAGGTTAAAGAGGCTTTTATGAAAAACCTTTAAGAATTATAAACCTGAGGTAGAAATAGCAAAAAAAACCACAAAACAAAACAAAACAAAACACCACAAAAAAACCCCTTATTAAAAAACAACCCACAACAGCACAAAAAGGTTTCTTGTCTGTAAAGAGTAAGCAGGTTAACACTAATGCCCCACAAAAAGGACTTTAATGCCACAAGCCTTCCACTACACATGGATCAAGACAACAGGTCCAGCATCTGAACAGCCTGCCCTCCCCACAAGCAAGTTTTTACTTCAGACTTGTCCAGGCAACAAAATTCATGTTGTTGTTGTTAGGACAACTCCTGCACTTACCGGTACATTCTCCTCCTGGGGCAGAGCTGCCTTTCTCTTCCCCAGGCGCTCTGGCAGCTCACTGGCACGCTTCTCCAGCACCGCTGCCTCCAAGCTGCGCTCCTTCCAACGCTCCCTCTGGTGCTGCAGCCTGGCATTCCGCTCCCGCTTCACTTTGTTCCTCAGCTGAAGAAATGCACCGAGCAGTGGGGCAGGAGGGGAAAGCAAGGCAAAGAAAAACAAAGGAACTTTCAGGCAGGCAGCCACACGGGCCCGGCAGGAACAGGAGCAGTGGCGTTTCTTTCCAACGAGCTCAGGAAAGGACCCGACCGTCTCTGTGAAGCCCTTAAGAGCTGGGGGTCACGAGCCGGCTTTCCATTACCTGCAGCTCCTTGGACAGGCGGTGGGTGGAGCTCAGCTACAGCCCACGGGTTGTCCCGGTAACCACCAATTCGTCGGCCCTTCCTCAGCATCTCTGGCGGCCTGGGCGGTTCCTCTGCTTTGGCACGGCCAGCACCAGCTCAGCCGCTTCGACCGTAACGGGCTCTGCAGCTGGTCCGGCTCCTCCGCTGCAAAGGACCAGAGAGAGCACAAGAGCTGCCCTGAGGAACTGCCCAGCATGGGCTGCTCTGCTCCCGGGGCAGCGCTGCAGGGCACCCAGAGAGTGCCCTGCCGGCCTCCAGAGCAGGGCTGTGCAGAGCCAAACCAGCTCCTCCACCCGGCAGGTGCACGAGCCAAGTCACCGGCACCATTCTGGACATTTGGTCTCCTCAGAGCGCCCATGGCAAGGGAAAAAGAACATCTGGTTCACTGTCCCGAGTATGGAAACAAACAAAACCACAACACTAGACTAAATTCATCTACAGAAGCCCAAATTCACTGAATGCCTGCTGAATTCAGCAGGAAGACATTCCCTCAACCACAAGGCATCCTTAGGACGTTTCAAACTCTGGATTTAAGCCCTAAGAAGCCAGTGACAAAACACTCAAGCTGTTTCATTAAACACAGCAGACTGGGAGGGCTTTCGAGGGTCTATGACAAACACCTGTCATCAGCTGCTCCCACTGCCAGAACTGTTCTAGCCCAGAACAAAAGGCTGAGAAATCAGGAAGAATTCCAGCCACTGCCAAGACTAGACCTCTCGGGGACGGTGCAGGGAAACAGAGTCATGTGCTCCAAGATCTTGCAGATCCAAGATCTTAAAGGCATCCTCTAAACTGATGTTGATTCTGTGCAGTAGAACCCAAACAGAAAATAGGTTCTCCCCACAGACAACCCCCTCTGCTTTATCTCGATGGAAAGCACGAGGCTTCCTACTAAAACAACGTACTTATATTTCCCCTTAACAAACCAATCTCTTTTCATGCGAGGCAGGCTGGCAACGACAAGTTCTGCACAACACGGGGAGAGAGAGGGTGAAAAGCCAGGCAGAAGAAGACGTGTCGCTGTTAAGCCCGAGATGAACCTTTCCCGTGTCGATCTCCCCCGGCCCCGGCGCGGCCGCTCCTTCCCGCCGGGCCCCGCCTCGCAGTCGCCGCCTGGCGGACACGGCCGGGAGCGGCACTGCAGCCGCGCCCCCCACTCACCCCCCAAGGACCTCAAGAACTCTCGGAGCGCAGCTTGGCAAAAATAAACGTCCTGCAAGACCGACGTTGCCTTTCGGAAGTATTTCCTTCATTTCTGAGAACGATAAAAAGCCCAATCAACAACAAAAGTTATTTCATCCCTTTGCCAAGAATAACCCTGTAGCTTGCCTTCCTTTCTGCACTGACAGCAGACAGCTTGGATGCCCTGACAAAAACATTAGACAACTCTCTCCAACATTTCTTACAACCTCCTTAATCCTTCTCGTGGTAAAACCCACCCTCTTCATTTGATCAAGAAAAACCAAACCAAACCAAGGAAACCCCACCACCTGACACAGGTCACAAGTTACGGAAGAGACTCAGAGCCACAGGAGGAAGGCTAACAAACAGGTGAAGTTTCAAGGAAATCTCACATCTTCCAACATCCTGCTCGTGTTGCCTACACTGCCCCCTGGATATGACCCACTCCCAGGCATCTGCCCAGCAGCAGACACCACCGCTGCCCTCTCAAACAGCAGCACTTCAGCCACGAGCCACCACTGTTCCAAGAACCACAGCTGTAGATTGCCGTGCCCATCAATGACAGACGTGGCAACTAAGCCATGTCCACTGTCTGCTACCTGCCACACAGGACCCTCTTCTCTAAAAACAGCGGCTCAGCAGGCAGCACTACCATTTTCCAGACATATCCTTACTCCCAGCAGTCAGGTCACACTTCAGTACTTCACCAAGTCTGCGGGAGGACTTGCAGGGCCTGAAGGCTCACGCTAGGGTGTGGCACTCACTTGGTGTCTATGGAAACCATACGGCTACTACAGAATGTTTTCTCCTAGGAAACACACCCATTACACAAGTTACACATCTGACCAAAAGGCAGCAAGTGGCCTCCAATCCCACCAATTGTCTTCTTGCTGTCACCACATCCTTAGCCTTAGAAGGCAGGGGGAAGTCTACAGCTGTTGGAGCAGTTCCTGGGAACGCCATAAAACACCCTTTCTTTGGACTGCCCAAGGGCACCCCCCAGCTCCTGCCCAAACATCCTGTCCCGTCCCCATCGATGCCAGGAGCCCGCAGCCTTGGAAAACACACATTCCCGGGCTGCAGCTCCCAAGGGATGACGCAGCTATTCAAGCGCACACCCGCGGGCAGGGGGGCACTTACCTGGGGGGCCACCGGCCCCTCCGACTCCCCCCCCCGCGGCAGCGCGGCCCCTGACCGCGGATGCCCCGCTCCCCCCGCTGCCGTCCCGCCACAAGGAACGGACGGGCAGGACCCGGCAGTGCCGGGACACCGGGCACGCGCACCCGGGCACGGGCAGCAGCGGGTGCCGGTTCTCCCCGGCAGGCCCCGGGCCGGGGGGTGAGGGATTCCCTCCGCCTGGCGCGGCCAAGAAATCCGCCCGCCGCTCCCCCTGTCCCGGCCTTGAAGAGGCGGCGGCTCTCTGGGAGCACACGTGGAAGCGACGCCGCCTGCCCTCCGAGTGTGGGACAGCACAGCTGCCGTGACTCCCCTCTCTCCATAGAGCTTCCACCGAGCAATCGCCGGAAAGACCCAAATCCCAGCATTTGGGGCCCTTTCAATGTTAATGTGAAACACCTCGTTCAACCTGACACGTCCCTGGGAACGATTCAGCCCCAAAATCGTGCTCCCTAAGCAGTGGACAAAATTTCCCTCCCGTTTTGGACTGAAAAGCGGTCCAGCAGGAGGCTGCCTTTGCCCATCCGAGCGGCCCCGCCCTGTCCCGAGCTCAGCTCAGCCCTCCAGAAGCCGCAGGACGGGTCATTCCCCGAGGAAGGGGGGGACTTACCGACGAGCCCCCACACGGAATGGTGCTCCTCCCGAGCGCTCCACAGTGAGCCCTGCCAGCCCCGGGAGCCGAGCCGAGCCGAGCGGAGCCGAGCCGAGCCGAGCCGAGCCGAGCCGAGCGGAGCGGAGCCGAGCCGAGCCGAGCCGAGCGGAGCCGAGCCGAGCCGAGCCGAGCCGAGCCCGAAGCCGAGCCGAGCCGAGCCGAGCCGAGAGCCGAGCCCAGCCGAAGCCGAGCCGAGCCGAGCCGAGCCGAGCCGAGCGGAGCCGAGCCGAGCGGAGCCGAGCCCAGCCGAGTCCAACCGAGTCCAGCCGAGCGGAGCCGAGCCGAGCGGAGCGGAGCCCCCGCAGCCCCCCAGCCCCTCCCGCCCTCACAGCTCCGGGTCCCGCCGGTCCCGCGCGCCCTCCGCGACCCCCCGGAGCGCCGCCGGGCCTCAGAGCGGCGCGTGCGCAGAGCGAGCGCGGAGGGCGGGCGCGCGCAACGGGCGCGCGAAAGGCGGTGCGGGGAGAGGGGGCGGGGCCGGCGCGAGCCGGGGGGGCGGGGCCGGCGCGATCTGGGGGCGGTGTATTATGGATTATAATCTATTATCCGTATTATCCATCTAATCTACTATCTCTATATCTGTAGTATGTATATTCCCTATTATCATCTATTTTTTGTATTATCTTTAATTATATTCTGTTATCTATATTATCTATTATCTATATTATGTATTATAATCTATTATCTGTAATATCTACATATTTTATATATATATATATGGATACATATATATCCGTAATCCATATTTTCTATATTGTCTATTATCATCCATTATGGGTATTATCTATATACCTATATTAGTCATTATTTATCACATAAAAATTATCTATAATCTATATATCTATACTATATATTATCACCTATTATCATCTATTACTTATATTATCAATTTTCAGATTATCTATATTCTTCTGTTATCATCCATTATCTGTATTATCTATATTCTCTATTGTAATCCCTTAGTTGTATTATTTATATGTTAATATTGTCTATTATCCATGTTTTATATATATAATCAATTATCGATATATAGTCTATTATCATCACCTATATTATCTATATATCTGTCTATATTATCCATTATCTGTATTTATTCTCTAATATCATCTAATGTCTGTATTATCTATACATCTCTATTATCTACTATCCATATTATCTATAATATCTATTACCATCAGCTATAATCTGTATTATCTACATAGCCATATTAGCTATATTATCTATAGATCTATATTCTCTATTATCATCTATTATCTATATCTATAAAGCTTATCATCTATTATCTCTATTATCTATGATATCTACTATTATCTATATTCTCTGATATATATTATCTATATTATATGTATTATCTCTGATCTATATTCTCTATTATAATCCCTTCTCTGTATTATTTATACATCGATATTATCTATTATCCATAATATCTATAATTCATATTATCTATATTATCTATATTATTTCTCATCTACTATTTATATTCTTTGTATAATTTCTTTTCTATACATCTACATTATCTATATATCCATGTCACCTGTTATCTATTATCTGTTAAATCTATAACTATTCTACACATTACTTGTATTACCGATATTATCTGTTTTTCTATCTATAAAATATATTTCATGTATTCTAGATATCCTATAGATTAAAGATATTCCATATATTCCCTATATTCTATATATTCTAGATATAAAATATATCCTATATAAAAAATATATGCTATGTATCCTATATCTAATATATTCCCTATATCCTATATGTGAAATATATATATCTTCTATATCCTATAGATAAAATATGTTCCCTATATTCCCTGTATTCCACATGTTCCATGTATTCTCCATAACAGAACAAAGACATTCCCAACCTGTCCCTCCATTTTCCCCATTCCCACCTCATCCCCATCCCCTCCCCATTCCCACCCAGTTCCCCTTTCCATCCCCATTCCCACCCCACTCCCACTCCACAAGGAGCGACGCGGTGTCACTTTGTCCCAAGGGCACCTTTATTGCTCCGGAAAGTCCCGCACAGATGGAACCAATCTCCATAACTTTTTCCCTTTTTTTTCCCTTATTATTTTCCCCTTATTTTTTCCCCATTTTTTCCTTATTTCCCCCCCTTTTTTTCCCCCTTATTTTTCCCCTTATTTTTTTCTCTTATTTTTTCCCTTATATTTTCCCTTTTTTTTCCTCTTTTCCCCCCCTATTTTTTCTCCTATTTCCCCCCGATTTTTCCCTTATTTTTTCTTTTTTTCCTTACATTTTTTTCTTTTTGTCCCTTATGTTTTTCCCTTTATTTTTTCCTTTATATTTTTCTTATTGTATAGTTTTTCCCTTATTTTTTCCTTTTCCCCCTTATTTTTCCCTTTTTTCCTTTTTTCCCTTATTTTTCCCTCTTTTTTTCCTTTTTTCCCTTATTTTTCCCTTTTTCTCTTATTTTTCTCTTTTTTTCACTTACTTTTTGCCCTTATTTTTTAATCTCCTTTTTTCCCTTATTTTTCCTCTTATTTTTTCCCTTATTTTTTCTCTTATTTTTTTCCCGTGTATTTTTCCTTATTTTTTCCCCGCATCTTTTCCCTTATTTTTTCTCTTATTTTTTCCCTTATATTTTCCCCTTATTTTTTTCCCCTTATATTTTTCCCCTTATTTTATTTTTCTCTCTCTTTCTCTTTCTCTTTTCTCCTGGCAGAAAAGGCAATCGCTCCTGTGAAAAATAAGCCAAATATATTTATTTTTTTTTCTTGTCGGTAAACTGAGGTGGATTCTCTAGTTTTTCCATCCTACAAGGGTGTCCTACGTCTATTTTATTCCAAAAGAGCACTAGACAAACGAAGCTTTATAACAAAAAGCCAGGCACTGATACATGGTAAAACCTCTCGCTTTTTTTTTTGTTTGTGGTTTTTTTTTTTAGGTTTTTTTCAGTGTTTTTTTTTCACCTTTTTTTTTTTCTGTTTTTTAATTCTTATTTTTTTCACCGAAATTGCATCACAAGTAACAAGAAGGAAAAAAGGCCACAGTTCATAATCATTTCTCACCATTACAGAAGGGCTAAAATACTCGAAAATGAGGAGGGGCCACGCCCAGCACTGCACGAACATGAGGCGACTTCAAGTCCCGGAGGAAAAACAAAAAAACAAGTAAAAAAAGGGAAAAAAACCCGAAGAAACAAAATAAAACAAAATCAACCCAAAAAAGTCAGAAATGAACAAAAAACTTGGGCCTTCCCAGGCCCCGGTGCCTCGTTGTGTTGGAATTTCTCACTATTCCACCTTTCCACCTCCAAGTTCTTTTTTTTCCAGTCAACTAGTGGAAAAGTTGGAATTTTCCTGATTTTTTTTTCCTCCGGGTTTTTTCAATTCCCCCCCCCCTTTTTTTTTTTTTTAATTTTGTTGCTTTTTTTCCTCGGGAGTTTGTGCTTCTTTCCATTGAAATCTCCTCATTCCTGGCACTGCTCGGGATTGTTGGAGTCTGGATATGGATAAGTTCTCCCTGACCACCCTTTCCGGCACCTTCCCCCCCTCCTAGCCCCCCGAAATCCTGGAAAACAATCCCAAAAAACCTCGGAAGACTGAATCACTACAAGTTGCCTTGCTGGCACTTGGAGCGTCCTTGCAGCTCAGCGCAGCTCCAGCTGAACATTCCCAATCCAGCAGATCCATAAATTCCTGCCATGTGGAGGTGGATCCAGGCAGGAAAAAGCTGCTAAAAAAATCAGGATTTTGCCTTTTCTCAGGGAGCTTTCAGCCTGGTTTTGTTCCCACGGGGAATAAAAACCTCCATGGCTTCGGAGAATGACGCGCAGGCCTTCCCTGGGCTGGGAAAAAATGGAAAAATCATGGATCAGACACTCAAGGGGGGTGGTTTTGTTAAATCTTGGCTCATCCGGAGCGGGATCTTCAGCTCTTCCATCTAGGCTGGCTGAGGGAGCATCTCGGATGGATGGAACAAGGAAACCTTTCCCTGGCTTTTTTCCAGTTCCAGGGATGAAATTCCTCATTTCTTTTCCCAAAACTCCTCATTTCTTTTCCATCCACAAATTGGGTTTAATAAACATCAAGTTGGGGTTTTCCAGCATTTCAGTCCTTGAAATCTCAATTTCCTGCTGATCCCAATCCTGATCCTGGCGGAGTGACCCACTCGGACACCCCAATCCAACATGATCCAACAGGGCTGAGACCTCCTGGGAAATGGGATTTATGGCTCGTGTTCCTTGGCATCATGCTCTTCCCAGCTCCAGAATTCCCGAATTCTCACCCTCCCTCAGCTAAGCCCAGCTCCGAGTCCAGCCTTATTCCTGCCTGGATTTAAGCCCAGGCTTGGTTTTTCCCAGTTGACTCCACCTCCACATTTTGGCAACTTATCAACACCTCAAAAGCCAGGAAGTTTCCTGAATGGATTCTCCGGGAGCACGTGGGGAATTGGGTTTGTTCTTCTCGGTTTTTTGCGGGAAAATTCCGTTTCTTTCTTTCCCTTCAAGGACACTCCATGGGATTCTTTTTTGTTCATTCAACCACCCAGAATTCGATCCACTGGAAAAAAAAAAACCCACCGCGATGCCCCGACCCCGACACAATGTAGGAAAACACGGAATAACGAGAATCTACATGGAAAAATAGAACTTTTACATACACAATTCCAAAATAACGATCCGGCCGGGCCGGGTTTTGTTGCATAAAATGTACAAACGTCTCTCTTTTTGTCTGTGGTTGGTTGGTTTGTTTTTGTTCCCAGGCCTCTGGAAAACTGGCAAACCAGGAGAACAGATGGAACGTTTAGACTGTTTCGGGGATGGATTTATGGCGTTTATTCAGCGGGAATTCGACTCGGACAAAGGGGGAGAGGGGGGTTGGATTGGGAAGCCACGCCGGGCTGGGAAAAAAATGGGATTGGAGACGGAAAGGGATGCTGATAAATATTTAATGAGCACTGGCGTGGTTCTGTACACCAAAGTCACTCAGGATTGGGAGTCACTCTGGAAGTCGGGTTGTGCCGAGACTTCGGAGCTGCGGTGCCACCGGCGGCGTGGTCGGGAAAAACTTCCTTTGTACTGGCCAGAGAATTCCGGGAATCAACCCCCTCCTGGACAAAGTGCAACTTAATGCTTTAGGACTCATAAGGCTCGTTAGGACCCAAAAAATTGGCATTTCCCACGGAAAAAAAAAAAAAAAAAACAACAACAAAAATGAGGCGCTCGGGGGGGAAAAAATCCACTCGGAAACGAGGAAAACGAACGGGGGGGGGGGAAAAGTCCGCACGTGGAGTCAATCCATCCCACTCCTTGGAATTCCCCCCTCCCTCCCCTCCCCCTCCCAGCCCCTGGAATCGCTACACAAAGAGGGAACGCGGAATCAGCCACTCGGAGGATGGGATGTTTTGCCGATGGAGAAACATTGGAAGGCACAGTGGTAACATTGTAGCATCCTAACCTTGCACCTCGGAAAATCCCGGGAAAAAACGGGGCCCAAATCCGGCTTTTTTTTGTTTGTTTTTTTGTTTGTATTTTTAAATTTCCCACCCCCAACACCCCCCACCACCCCCCCCCCACCCCCCACCCCCCCCACCCCCCACCACCCCCCCACCCCCACACACCCCCCCACCAACCCCCCCCCCACCACCCCACACCACCCCCCCCCACCCTCTGCCCCCTAAAATCCCAGGAAATTTGTTATGGATGGGAAGAAACGGAGGGGCCGGTGGTTCCACACGCTTGGCGTGGAGTCGGCACTCCAGGCTCCAGGAAAACGGGGAAAACCCAAAAATAACAATAATAGAAAAAAAAAAAAAAAAACAAGGAAAAGAAGGGGGAGAAGTCCCCCCTTGAAAAATTCCGTATTTACAGGAAAAGCTCTCTTTTTGTCTTTTTTTTCTTAAAAAAGTTAATCCTATTCTCCTTTTTTTTTGTCATTTTGTTATGGTTTTTTCCTTTTTTTTTTTCCCTTTTTTTTTTACAGGAGCCAAAATAAAAAAGTCGGAACCGAAGGAACAAAACCTTACCCATCATCTCCACTAAATTTCTCATATAGATTTATATATATATATATATATATTTGTCATAGGTCTATAAGATCCATCTGTTTCTCCTACCCTAAGGAATGGCTAAAATTCTCAGGTTCTATTTTTTTTTTCCGTTTCGTTTCGTTGGGACGTTTTTGCTGGTTTCAGGAATATTTTGGAAATATCTCATTCCAGCGGATAAAGAGCAGAAACACCAACCCCCAAAACAAAAAAAATTCATTTTCCGTCGTTTTCCCTCATTTTTTGTCTCGTTTTTCCCCTCTTCAGAAGTACACTTTTTATCATTATTGCAAGTTTACCTTTTTTTTTTGTTTGTTTGTTTTTAAATTAAATATTTTTTTTTAAATCCTCAGGCTTTTACAAATTCTTTGTTTTGTTTGGTTTTTTTTTCTTTTTTTTTTTTATGGTTTTTTTTTTTCCCTTTTTTTTTTTTTAAGTTCCAAAAAAAAACCAAAAAAAACCCAAAAAAAAAACAACCACCACCAGAAAAACCACCAAAAAAAAACCCCAAAAACAAAACTGAAAAAAAAAACCTCAAACCCAAAAAACCCAAAAAAAACCAAGGAATTTTAGGCACAAATGCATTGTCCCACAGTGTGGAAAAAGATTGCCATTCAGTCTCGGAATTCCAAGTTGGACATTCTGCTTGATATGTTCAAAGAGAGTCATCCCTCCAAAAGTTGCACTTTTTTGTTTCGTTTTTTTCTCGTTGGGTTCCGTGGGTTTTTTGTGGTTTTTTTTCCCTCGGGAATGCTGGAATCTCTTGCGTCTGGGATTCAGAACTGCTCAGACTTGTCTTATCTTACAAAACAAAGGGGTTTCGCAAGGAGAAGTGTTTCTGTGGGATTTAAGAGAATACAGCGGATAAGGAAGTGGTCTCTCGCTTTTCCGGGCAGGAACACGGCGACTTGGACCTGTGGGAGAAGGGAAAGGGCCCATCAGAAGGGGGAGGCAGGGGTTTGGTCCACCCTCTTCCCAGGAAACTGCCCTGGGAATCAAGGGCCCCAAAAGTCCCTTGAGAAGGGTCAGAGCATCCTGAATATCCAACCTTGATTTCAACCCTGATATCCATCCCAAATATCTGTTACTATCCATCCCTAATCCCAGCCCTATTATCCAACTCTAATTTCCAGCCCTAATATCCAACAGTAATATCCATCCCTAATTCCAGTCCTAACATCCAACCCTAATATCCACCCCTGATATCCAATCCTGATCTCAAACCCTGATATCCAACCCCAATATCCAAACTCAATATCCATCCCTAAAATCCAAACCCGACATCCAACAGCAATATTCATACCTAAATCCAGCCCTAATATCCAGCCCTACTCTCCAACCCAAATATCCATTACTATCCATCCCTAATTTCCAACCCTAATATTCAACCCTAATATGCATCCCTAATATCCATCCCTAATATCCAATCCTTATATCCAACCCTGCTATACATCCCTAATAGCCAAGCCCAGTATCCATTCAAAATATCCAACCCTGCCATCCAGTCCTAACATCCAACCCAAATATCCAACTTTAATATCCATACCTAATATCCATCCAGTCCTAATATCCAACCTAAATACCCATCCCTAATATCCAACCTAAATACCCATCCCTAATATCCAACCTAAATACCTATCCCTAATATCCATCCCTAATAGCCAATCCTATTATCCAACTCCAATATCCAACAGTACTATCCATCCCTAATTTCCAACCCTAATATCCAGCCCTGATATCCAACTCCAATATCCATCCCTAATATCCATTCCCAACATCCAACAGTAATATCCATCCCTAATTCCAACCCTAACATCCATCCCCCATATCCAACCTCACCCTCTCCTGACCCACTTCCCACCATTCCCTTGGGTATCCAGCGATGGGACCCACGGAAACATCCTGGAGCTGCACCAGGGCAGGGTCAGGTTGGAATTTAGAGAAAAGATCTTCATCCAGAGGGTTGCTGGGCACTGGAATCCCCATTCCCAGGGAATCCAGGAGCGTTTGGATACGGTGGGATTTTGAGGTTGTCCAGGGGCCAGGAGTTGGACTGGACGATCCTTGTGGTCACCTCCAACTCAGGACAATGATCCCTCCCCACAAGGAACACGTGGGAATGGTCCATCCCGGAAGTGACTGATCCCAATCATACCTTTTTACATCTGTCCCATGTGATTGGAGGCATCTCCCATCCCAGGGTGGGGTCCTGCCAGGGACAGCGGGGGCGGATCCGAGGAGACCTTCTCTTCTTCCCTTCTTTTCAGGCACGCAGCCTTTGGATTCAGATTCCGTTCTGTGAGGGAAAGGAGACATCCAACATCCCTATTTTCACCTCATGGAGCTCCAACATCCCTATTTTCCCATCATGGAACTCCAACATCCCAATTTCCACCTCGGGGAGCTCAAACATCTCTATGGTCTCATCATGGCACTCAAAACCCCCTATTCTCAGCCCCTTGAGGTTGGAAAAGCCCCCTGAGACCACAGAGTCCCACCACTCCAGAGTTCTCCACCGACGGTGTTCCACCCCCGTGTTCCCAGGCGCCGCCCACGGGACTGACCTCGGACCTGTTGCTCCAGGCTGAGGATGACAGCTACGGCCTGGTGGAGGATGAGGAGCTTGGTCTGGGGCTTGTCACTCTTGAGGTGGAGCTGCACCATGCGGCCCAGCTCCTTGAAGGCCTCGTTGATGTCACGCACGCGCAGCCGCTCCCGCGCGTTGTTGGCCATGCGCCGCTCCTTCTCCCGCTCTGCCTTCTGCTCCGGGGTCAGGTCCTCGTCGTCGTTATTGCTGCGGGACGGAAGCACACGGCATTTTCGAACGACGGGCAATCGGCCAGAAGCTCCACAGTCAAGAATTCCCGAGCCGCTCGTTGTTCCAACCAAAGCTGGGCCAGGGATTTGAGGAGGAAGGGTTTGGTGTGGAGGCTTTGCAAGGTGAGAATTCTGAGCTGTTTATCCAAAGCTTTTTGTTGCAATAGGGAATTAGGTTGGAAAAGGCCTCTGAGGCCATGGGGTCCAACACCAGCCCATGTCCCCAAGTGCCACATCCACACAGCTTAAAATCCCTCCAGGAATGGGGATTCCACCCCTGCCCTGGGCAGCCTCTCCCAGGGCTTTAATCCCGAAGTTTGGGATTTGTGAGAACCCTTTGCCACTGAGGGTGGTTGGAGGTGCCAAAGGTTTCTGGGTTTAAATCGTGGAATCTTGGAACGGTTTGGGTTGGGAGGGAGCTTAAAGCTCATCCCATTCTGCCGTCATGGGCAGGGACACTTCCACTATCCCAGGTTGCTCCAAGCCCCGTCCAACCTGGCCTTGGACATGTCAGGGATTGGGCAGCCCCAGCCAATGATAAAATCCAGCTCTAAACGTCCCAAAAATCCGTTCAGAATTTACTAAGGCTCCAAACCCTCAGAATTTACAGCAATCAAGGACTGGGAATGACAAATAATACATAAAAGCAAAGTAAATCCAACCGTATTCCAATTTGGAAGCATGGGATAAGAGGGCTAAGAGCCTAATCAATCGATTTTGGCCTAACATCATTTCTCAGTGGCCAAATTTGGGAATTGTTGGAATGGGAGGCCATCCTGGAGCGCAGGTCCCCCAAAAGTGGCGGGTCCTGCCGGGCCAGGCGCTCCACGATTCCGCCTGTTCCGTTCACTTCATCGAAATCCACGCAGGAATTAAATGAAGCGACACTGTTTCTCCCGTTACCTAGATCTTGACCTAGTAATGGATTTGATATCCTTCTTGTCATCCTCCAGTTTCTTGTCCTCCGAAGACTTGGTGTCCTGGAGGTTCTCGTCGCCCTCATCGTCGGATTTGATCTCGGAGCTGCCCGACGAGACGCTCTGGCCTTGCAGTCCTGTCGGGATTCCTGCAGGAAAATGGGGAGGGCGGGTCAGGAAGGGCACCCGAGTGGTGGGGTGGGTTGGGTCGGAAGGGATTTTATGGATCAGCTCATTCCAAAGCCCTGCCATGGGAAGGGACACCTCCCACTAGCCCAGGTTATTCCAGCCTGGCTGGTTTGGCTTGGAAGGGATTTTAGGGATCCTCTCATTCCAACCCCTCTTCCATGGGCACCTCCCACAGGTTGCTCCAAGCCCTGTCCAACCTGGCCTTGGACACTTCCAGGGATAACAGAATCATGGAATGGTTTGGGATGGAAGGGATTTTAAGGATCACCTCATTCCAACACTTCTTCCATGGGCTGGAACACCTTCCACTAGCCCAGGTTGCTTCAACCTGGCCCTGAACACTTCCTGGGATCATAGAACCATGGAAAGGTTTGGGATGAAGGGATTTTATGGATCAGCTCATTCCAAACCCCTGCCATGGGCAGGGACATTTCCCACTAGCCCAGGCTGCTCCAACCTGGCCAGTTTGGCTTGGAAAGGATTTAAGGATCACCTCATTCCAACCCTTCTTCCATGGCTGGGACACCTTCCACTGGACCAGGTTGCTCCAAGCCCTGGCCTAGGTTTTATCCATCCCAGATCATGGAATGGTTTGTGTTGGAAGGGATTTTAAGGACCATCTCATTCCAACCCTCTTCCATGAGCACCTTCTGCAAGACCAGGTTGCTCCAAGCCCTTACCCATCCCAGCTCATTCCCAGCTCATTCCAAGAGCAACCACCACCCCCCAGCCAGCTCAGGGATCGCAGGTGGATTTCGCTCCAAACCAACCCCCCAGCTCCTGGATCCTGGACAACCACAAGGCCGAGCTCACTGAAGAGTCCCACCAGAGCACAACAATTCCAGCAGGGATGCGGGAATGTCCACTCACCCCTGTAAGGATCCTGGGGCGGGTTCAGGTCCGGGGACGTGGCCGACTGGACGGGAAGCTGAGGGACGGGCACCTGGTTGGGCACGAGCGAGTGGCTCCCGCGGAGGCTCACCCCGTCCTCCCGGTGCGCTCCCACCTGCAGGACATGGGCAGCCCTCAGGACACCCCTGGAATTCCACCCGCAGGCTCAGGAAAACCCCTGAGACTCTCAATGCTCCTCGCCCACCAAAGGGGTGTAGAATTCCGCCCGGGATTTGAGGAGGAAAGACTTGGTGCAGAGGTTTTGCAAGGGGGGAATTCTGAGCTGTTTATCCAAAAGCTTTTCGTTGGAATAGGGAATTATTTAGGTTGGGAAAGGCCTCTAAGGCCATGTCCCCAAGTGCCACATCCACATGGATTTGAAATCCCTCCAGGAATGGGGATTCCACCCCTGCCCTGGGCAGCCTCTTCCAGGGCTTCAATCCCAAAGTTTGGGATTTGGGAGAACCCTTCTCTGCCACTGAGGCTTGGAGGTGCCAAAGGCACTGGGTTTAAGTCATGGAATCCTGGAATGGTTTGGGTTGGAAGGGACTTTAAGGATCATCCCATTCCACCCCCTGCCATGGGCAGGGACACTCACTATCCCAGTTTGCTCCAAGCCCTGTCCAACTTGGCCTTGGATATTCCAGGGATGGGGCAGCCACAACCAATGATAAAATCCAGCTCTCAACTTCCCCAAAAGGGAAATCTCAGGAAGTCCAAGCCCCCAGATCCCTCGGGATGAGCCCCGGCCCTGGGATGGTCCTCACGGAGGGCACAGATGGTCTGTGGCCGTGACAGACACTTGGGCAGGTAAAATGTCATTCCCATTCCCAAGGTGCCTCCCGGATTCCTTCCCATCTGTCCCCTCTCCAGCACAGCTGACAATTATCTCTAGGCCCATCTGTTTAATTGGGGGCTTCACAATTCCTCCCTGGAGCCAGGAAATCCGTCGGGAATCACGAGTTGGCAGCGCACTCGGAATGGTGGCTCAGCCTCCTGACAGCCCCTGATGTTCCCTGTGTCGCTGCATTCCCGACATCAGGAGACACATCCACAGGGATTTATTAACCACCCAATCCCAAATCCAAAGGGATACCTCCCTGCCAGCTCAGGGTTCCACCTTCCCTAAGGAAAAGGGGTGATGGAGGCAAGGAAGGAATGACCAAGAGGAATTAGCGGGGACAGGAGGAATTGGAATCCAGGAGGAACTGGGGGGGGGGACAGGAAAAACTGGGATTTGGGCCTCCAGGATAAGGAGAAATTGGGGTCCAGGAGATATTGGGATCCAGGCCCTCAAAACCAGGAGGAATTGGGATCCAGGCCCCCTAGACCAGGAGGAAATGGGATCCAGGAGGAATAGAAATCCAGGAGGAATGGGGGTCACTGCCACTACATTCCCACCAGGAAGCTGCTCCCTCATCCCAGACTCATCTGGATTGGGAAGGACCCCAAGCCCATCCCCTTCCACCCCCAAACTTCCCAATGCCGGGACCACCACAGCAACATTCCTTGTCCTTTATCCCACGGGATAAATCCAGCAGGGAATTGAAAGGGTGCTGTGTGTTAACCCAGGGCTGAGATAGGCCTGATTCCAAAGCCAAGCCCAGCTAAACCTGGCTTAACCCCCCCCAGCAAATCCATCCCATCCCGTTGGATGTGTGTATTCCAAATGAGTCCATTCCCCGGCCCTTTCATGTGCCCACCATCCCATAATAGTTGCCAGATGAGCGCTGGCCGGGCTATAAATAAGATCAAAAGGGAAGGAAAGGATTTAATCAGCACCAAAAAAAACACCCGGAGAGGGGAATGAAAGCAGGGAAAAGGCAAAGTTCAGAAGCTTTTTTCCACAGGAAACTTTGGTTCCAACAGAAAACTCCCTTTTTCTCCAAAAAAAAAAAACCCAAACCTTTTTTGCCACAAAACTCCTTTTTTTTTCCCAACAGAAAACTCCCTTTTTTTCCTATAGAAAAATCCCTTTGTATCTACAGAAAATTCCACTGGGATGCTCCCATTCCCATGGAGCAGCTCTTACTGGGCTGCTCCTGCCCCACTGGAATTCTCTTACCCCAGCTGGATTCTCCTGTCCCAGTGGGATGTTCCTATTCCACTGGGATGCTCCCATTCTCATGGAGCAGCTCTCACTGGGATACTCCTGTCCCACTGGGATACACGCACCCCACTGGAATTCTCCTGTCCCACTGGGATGCTCCCAATTCTATGGAGAAGCTCTTGCTGAGATCCGCCTGCCTCACCGGGATTCTCCTGTCCCACTGGGATATTCCCATTCCCATGAAACAGTTCTTATTGGGATGCTCCTGTCCCACTGGGATGCTCCTGTCCCAATGGGATGCTCCTGTCCCACCTGGATGCTCCCATTCCCATGAAGCAGCTGTTACTGGGATTCTCCTGCCCCATTGGGATGCTCCTGACCCGCTGCCATGGGGCAGATCCCACTAGGATTCTCCTGTCATGGGGCAGCTCCCACTGGGATACTCCTGTCCCACTGAGCTGCTCCTGTCCCACTGGGATGCTCCCATTCCCATGGAACAGCTCTTGCTGGAATTCTCCTGCCCCACTGGGATTTGCCTGTGCCACTGGGATGTTCCCATTGCCATGGAGCAGCTCCCACTGGGACACTCCTGCCCATATGGGATGTTCCTGTCCCACTGGGATTCTCTCATTCCTATGAGGCAGCTTCCACTGGGATCATCCTACACCAGCCAGATCATCCCATCCCAATGGGATACTCCCGCCCCCCTGGGCCGCTCCCATTTCCCCCGAGCCACTCCCGCCCCACCAGGTTGCTCCTCTCCCACCGGGACACTCGCGCCGGCCCCACCCGGCCGTGCCCGCTCACCATGATGGAGTGGCGGTTTGCCGAGAGCAGCCCGGTGCCGTAGCCGGCGCCCAGCCCGGCCATGGCACCGTTGTGGGCGCCCAGCAGCCCGTGCATGTCCCCGTGGGCCCCGGCCATGGGCGCCGCTCCCACCGCGTGGTTCCGCAGCACGTGGATGGCGTCGTCCAGCCGCTCCAGCCGGTCCTCGATCCGGCTCTGCTGCGGGGCGGGAAAAGCGGGAATGGCGTGAGGAGCCCGCCCCAGGATACAGCCAGGCCTCCCTGCTCAGCCCCTTGTGCTTCCACCTTATTATCCTTGGATTTGCTAGGTTTTCCTTGGATTTTTTTTCTCTTAAGGAACGGGTTTGCTTCCCTAGGGAATGCCACACCCTAGGGAAGGTTGAACCCCGGGGAGTGTTGAGCCCTAAGGAATGTTAACGAGTCCAGCTTTGATTTTCATGGGCAAAACAGGTTCAATGATTCCTCATGAACATGAATCAGGCCAGGACAGCATTCGCCCTCCAGGTCTCAGCAGAGCTGGAGTGAGAGCGAGGTAAAAGAAGGATTCAAAAACTGAAAATTCCAAAGGAAAATCAAAAAGAAAAGCAGGAGAAGGAAAGAAACAAAGAGGTTTCGCTGCCATTTTCCTCCCCGCTCAAATAATCCCAGGATCACACACAGAGAGGAGGAGGAACTACCAGGTCCTGCAGCCACGGGGGTTTAATCCCTACAGGTCGGAGCTCCCAAGGGATGGGGAACCTCAACAGGACATTTCCCGAGTCCCCAGGGGCCAAAGAATCTCAACAGAACACTTCCCAAGTGCTGGAGAATCTGGAACCTCACCAGGACACTTCCCAAGTCTCCAGGTGCTGCAGAACCTCAACAGCACAGTCCTGAAGTTCCCAGGGGCTAAGGAATCTCAACAGGACACTTCCCAAGCGCTGGAGAACCTGGAACCTCAATAGGACACTTTCTAAGTTCTGGAGAACCTGGAACTTCACCAGGACAGTCCCCAAGTCTCCAGATGCTGGAGAATCCCAACGGGACAATCTCAAGAGCTGTGGAACCTCCCCAGGACCCTGAGCTGCCAAGGGAACCAGGCAGAGCTGCTGGAGCTCCTCAGCAAAGCCCCCAGCCATCCCCTGCTCTCCAGAACCTCCACAGGAAAGCCTGGAAACACTGGCTTCCATCAGCACAAGGATTTCTGGACTGGGGTGGAAAACCAGCCCATCCTAATTCCTGACTCCGGCAAACTCCCCGATACTTCCAACGGAGACCATCCCTTCCCTTGGTCCGTGGGGACAGGACCAGCACCATCATCTCCATCACTGCACAGAGACCCCTCACCATCACTTCCACCACTCGGCAGGGAGAGGACCAGGACCACCATCTCCCTCACTCCAGGAGACCCCTGACCATCACATCCCTCATTCCATGGGGATCCCTGACCATGACCTCCCTCATTCCAGGGGACTCCTGACCATCATCTCCCTCATTCCATGAGCAGAAGACCCCTGACCATCACCTTCCTCATTCCCCATGGAGAGAATCCTCACCGTCATCTCTCTCACTCCATAGGGACCCCAGACCATCATCTCTGTCATTCCACGAGGAGAAAATCCCTCACCATCACCTCCCTCATTCCATGAGGATCCTTGACCATCCTCTCCCTCACCCCACAGGACTCACGGATGCACCATCCTGAGTCCACCACATCTTCCTACTCCCATCCATCCACCCACCCATCCATTCCCCCCATCTCCCTCCTCACCCTCTTTCCTGCTCCTCACCCCCTTTCCAGCAGATCCCAACACCCCCTTTCCCTCTCGGGAGCACCTCCAACCCTCCCCGCCCCGGCTCCACCACGCGACTTCCGTAGGGATGAGATTTCCGGGGCCGCTCCGGGCGCGCAAAACCTGCATGGGAGGAAGCGGCGGATGGAGCACGACATCACTGAACGCAAGGAATTCCCGCAGGAAGGAGGTCACCGGTTGGAACATACCAGGGAGTGTAAGGGACCTTCATAATTGGGAGATGATGCCGCTTGACCTCCATTCCTAGACCAAACAGCTGTTCCTGCTAATAAGTAAAATCGGAGTTACCGTTGGAACTCAGCGAGCGCAACGTTCCCGACTTTTCTGGGACGCTTTTTCCGAGGCGTGGGAATGGCCTATGCCGAGTCGGAGCTTCCCAAGGCGCTCCTCTGCGGGAGCCTCGGCGGAACTCCTGCGCTTGGAGCTCTAACTCGGCCTCACGGCGCTGGGAGGAAAAGGGATTCCTGCTCTCCAGGAGTTTGCCAAGGAAACAATTCCAGCTCTTCCTTCAATCCACTTCTATTCCCTAATTTTCTATACTGGTTTGACCCTGGGTTATCCCTATTTCCCACTGGGAAGCAGCACAGCCCAAATTATCAGGGAATTCTCCCTCTGGCTCAGCCCCTTCCATAGGGAAAGGAAGGAGACACACAGTCCCTTCTAAATTTTGGGCTAATTCCAGGGAAAATAAGGGTGGGAAGTTGTTTTTTGGGGTGTGGGACCCCCCAAGCCAGGTCAGGTGGTCCCTCTGTCGCTTCCATAGGTTTCATCTCGATCTTGCAGGATGAAGGTGGGTGTGGTGCCCTCCTGGACCTGCCCTGACCATCCCTCCTTCCCAAAGGGTCTCATCCCCGTAGGAATGTCTGGGAAGTGGGACAACACGTGAGAGGATCAGGAGCTCCCCATGGAGAGCAAGGGATGATCCCACTTTTCCCTGCCCTACAGAGACACGGTGGCCTCAGCTCCGGCTCCGGATTCCCAGTGAGTTAATCGGTATCCAAGGGATCTTGGATTACACCTGGGCTCCAAGTGGGATCTCCAGGGAGGTAGGATGTGCTGCTGGGAGGAGGAGCCAGCTGGAAAAGGGTCACGGATTAAAAACTGGGAATGCCAGTCCGAGGACTATTTCCACCTCCTGATGCTCATGAGAACAACCCCAGGCCTCGGGATTTGGGGAAAGAATGCAAATATTCCAATAAAGTCCAGGATCACAAAATCATGGAATGGACCGGGTTGGAAGGGACCTCTAAAGGTCATTCAGTCCAACCCTGGGACACCTCCCACTATCCCACATTGCTCCAAGTCTTGTCCAGCCTGGCCCTGGAGAAATCCAGGGATGGAGCAGCTCCTCTGGACAACCTGTGTCAGTGTTTTACCTCCCTGATCCTAAAAAAACCTTCCTAAAATCCAACTGCCTGGACTTAGCTCCAAACCATCGCCCCACCATTCCTGGGGGATGTCCCTGAGGTGCAGGAAGCTCCACAGGGATAACCTGGGATATTCTGGGAGACACGTACACTGGGAGCTGCAACAACCTTCTCTCTGCACCAGAGGCAGGACACCGAGGCGGGACACCCCGGTCTGAGCTCGGGTAGGGATCTCTTCCCAAAAAAAACCCACCTTAGGAGGACCCGTTCCGTAAAATAGAATCATAACAATACCTGAGAGAGAAGGGGGAGAACCAACAGGAGTTGAAGGATTTGATGAAAAGCTGTTGTTGGTGTGATCTGGAGAATAGATCTTTAAAAGATGATACACAATTAATCTAAAGCCGTCACAACCCGATCCAGACAAAAAAAAAGCTTGGAATTCTTATGCATTCCATTCATTTCAATGAAAGCAGGACAGGCTGGAAAATTCCTTCCGATCCAGTCAATTAATTCCAGGAGAGTTGAAAGCCTCTCGGCTGTGCCAGTCAGCTCTTTGATGCACAGGAGAGGAGGAAGCTGGACACCGAGTCCCTCGGGAAGGGACTCCAGGGATTGGGATTTCAGGGATCGGCTCCGACACCATTTTATTGTCTCGACTTCATTTTATGAACGAGTGTCATGAGAACTCAAAGGAACCCACTGTGCCCAGAAAATAATAGGGATGGTCCTGGTTAAAGGGCAGCCAGTGCCACTGGGATAGCGGGAACGGGGCGGGAATATCCCAGTGGGAGCTGGGAAGCGCTGTGTCCAGTTATCCCAGAAAAACATGGGAACTGCTGCCTTTAACAGCCACCACATGAACTGGAGAGGTGGAGCTGCCATAGAACAGAGAGAACCTCCAGGGATTTCCAAAGGAATCCTGTTGGAGGGTGGTCTGGGAGTGCAGGAGTCATTCCTGCTGCTGGGTTCCCTCTCCTGTGGAAAAGTGGGATGGACTTGGCACACCTCAAGCCTTCCCCTCTTTCCACTCCTATCCTACCCTAAAATTCCCTCTAAAGCTTTCCCAACACCCCCTTTCCCTGATTATCCCCTATTCCAGCCAGCACGGGCTCCAGGGGGGCGATCTGCTGCTCATCTCCAGCAACTCCAGCTGGAGAACTGGGACTCAAATTCCCTTCCCAAGGGGTCAACATGGGAATTCCAAAGTAAATGTTTCCTTACAGAGGCGAGTGCTTTCCCCAGGGCATCACCAGTCTGCGAACTTCCCGCTGCCCCACTTCCTCTGTTGGCTGCAAGGCAAAAAATTCCATGTAAAACCAGCCAGGGGAACATCCCAAAATTCCTACTCCTGCTCCACCTTCAGGAATTAATTTATTTAATTAATTTGTTATTTAATTGCTTTTAATTAGAGAAGAGTCACTTTTAATTTAATTCAGCCTCACTTGACTCTATTAGAGATTTTTTTTCCCAGTCTTATGGAATGGCTTGGGTTGGAAAGGGACCACAGGGATCATCATTCCAACCGTTAATGGGCTGGGAAAGCTTCCACGAGACCAGGTTGCTCCAACCTGGCCTTGGACACTTCCAGGGATTGGGAAAGAGCCCCAAGAAGGGAGCAGAGACCTGGCAAGTCCCTCAAGGAGGAAAGGATGGCAGAGGGTGGTTCCTTCAGGGCAGGAACTCAAAAACAGGGATATTCCAGCCTGGAAAAGCCAAGCCAGGAGGCAGCAAGGCACCGGGAAGATCCTCCACATTGGGAAGCTCACGGCTCATCCCGTTCCATGGGCAGGGACACCTTCCACCAGCCTAACTCCAAGCCCTGGCACAATTCCAGGGACCAGGAATCCACAACCCCTGGGAGAACTCGGCCTCTGAGCCTGGTTTAGTTCCTCCTTTGTTCCCAGATCCTAAAAAAACCCCCACGTCCATCTGTTGCTGGTCGACCCCACCCTCCATTCCTCCGGCATTAGTGCCGCTCCGCCATCCCGCACGGAATCACGTGTGTAATCCGAACCATGTGTCCCCATTTCCCCGTCACTTCATCACGGAATCGCTCCCGGAGAGACCAGACAGGGGGTTCTCATTTCCCGTCTTTAACCATTCCCGGGCTGCGCCAGCGGTGACTCCCAGCGCTGCTCCCGGGGCTCACCCAGGATGGAGTCGGTGCCGTTGGCCGGGGGGGTGCAGGACGAGGCGCTGTAATGGTTGGTCCCGCTCCGGTGGAACGTGGACATCGGAGGAAGACTGGAGTTGATGTCGGCTGAGGAGTGGGATGGGTAGCTCTGTGCCGAGAAAAACAGGGAATGCTGGGATTACAAAGAGGGTGGGACGCTGCTCGTGGTGTCCCGAGGGCGGTTGGAAGGGATTTTTAGGATCATTCGGTCCCATAGACAGGGACACCTTCCATAGCCCAGGTTATTCCAACCTGGACACTCCCAGGGATGGGGCAGCCACAGCTTCTCTGGGAATTCCAGCCCAGCCCCTCCCCACCCTCCCAGCCAGGAATTCCTTCCCAATATCCCATCTAACCCAGTGGGAAGCCATTCCCTCTGTCCTGTCCTTCCAGGTCCTCATCCCAAGTCCCTCTCCAGCTCTCCTGGAGCCCCTTTAGGCCCTGGAAGGGGCTCTGAGGTTTCCCTAGAGCCTTCTCTTCTCCAGGTGGATATTCCCAGCTCTCCCAGCCTGGCTCCAGGGCAGAGGGGCTCCAGCCCTCGGAGCCTCTCCGTGGCCTCCTCTGGACCTGCTCCAACACCTCCAGGTTGGAGATCCCAGCCCTGGAAGTGTCCCAGCACTAAAATGGGTTGGGTTGAAAGGGATTTAAAGGATCCTCCAATCCCACCCCTTGTCGTGGGTTGCTGCAACCTTGGGCACTTGCAGGGCTGTAGCAGCCATGGATTCTCTGGGAAGCCCCCATCCCATCCCGCTGTCCCTTCCCCGGGATCCTCACCAAGCGGTCGTGCGGGTGGAGGCTGCAGTAGCTGCTGGATTGGGGAATGTGGGAAGAGTTGCCCAGCATTCCCCCGTAGCCAGGCTGGTTCATCCCGCTGGAGGAGCTCCAGGGGTCGCTGCTGTGGTGGCCATCTGCAAGACAGGAATCAGGGAATCAGGGAATCGTGGAGCGCTTTGGCTCAGAAGGCACATCCCACACCGTCTAATCCACAGGCAGAGACACCTCCCACCATCCCGGGTTGCTCCCAGCCCATCCAGCCTGGCCTCGGACACTTCCAAGGGTAAATCTTTGATATATCATTAGAATCCTGGTAATCTCCAGCTCTGGAATTCCAGAGGAGCTTCAGAGCTCTTGGGGTGATAATAAATGAAAAGGATTAGGAAAAAATTCCTTCACGGAAAGGGTGCTCAAGCCCTGGAATAATCAGTAGTGGGTTTCTATCCCTGGAAGTGTCCAAAGAACACGTGGATGTGGCATGTGGGGACATGGATAGTGGTGGCCATGGATGGTCAGGCTTGATAATCTTGGAGGGCTTTTGCAACCCTAATAATTCCATGATTTTATGATGCTAATCCTTAAAAAGTGGATAATTTTGCCCTCAATGTGGCAAAAAACGAGCAGTCGAATTTGACATGGATCTTTCCCAACTCTGGGAATGTTATCAATTAATTTATCCCAAATTCCTTTGCATTTCCATGTAATCATGACAACCTGGAAGCAGCAAGACCTAGAAAAATTCAGGATTCAGCCTCATTTTAACCCCATAGCTCTAATTCCACGTGTAGGGAAACAAGGATATGGAGACAGGGCTTTTAGGGAAACGATCCCAAAATGGCTCAGCTATGGACAAATTAAATATAAACCTGGAGAAAAAAAGCTGGAAAATCCGTTTCCTTCCTACCTTGCATGAAGAAGGAGCTGGGAAAAGTGCTGGCTGCTGGTTTGGAGGAGGGATAACCCGGAGAATCCCTGTTGTAGTCGGCAGTACTGGCTGAGGGAGCATAAACCTGGGGAAAAAAAAAGGCTCGTTTAGCCCTCAAAATCGAGTTTTCCGGCGAAATCCCTTCCCAATCCCCCCAGAATGCAAAACCCGGGTGACTGGAAAGTCAATTCCCAGCTTCAAAAGCAGCTCCAGGCTGACATTTTCCAGCTTGGAGCGGGAATATTTGTCCAAGTCTGGGTTCTGTAAATCCAATTAGGCAGCAGATGGACATATGTTCCTCCTCGAGCCTCCCGGAGCTTAAAATAAACAGGAACTGGGAACAATGAGGAGTTCTTTTGGGATGAAAGCATGTGGCCTTTGCCCACCTTGGCACACAACTGAAACTGCTCCAAAATTCCCGGCTTTCAGCTGGACACACGTTAATTTTCCGACCGTGCCAGTACTGGCAACGTGGAATTATGGTGTTATGCCGGGATATGAAATTCCCAGGGATCCAGCCTGAAAGGAGTCTGAAAAAGCTGGAGCAGCACGAGACCACCAACACAGTACGGGGACACTCCAGGGGGGAAAACTCCGCCTCTCCCCAGAACGACTCAAGTCATTGCTACAAAAAGCCGGGAGCGGGTGCCAAACACTCCTCACTCCCAGTTTTCCCTAAGTCACCAGAGCCCAGCCACTGGAATTCTCCCTCTGAGCTCCAGAGGGAATTTGAAGGTCGGATCCCCCGAGCCAGGCCGGCTGGATGCAGGGAAGATGTTGTGCAGGGTGGGATGGATTCCTGCCACTCCCGCTCTCCAGATGGTCGGGAAGGCTGAATCCCTGTCATCTCCTGGATGAAAATGGATCCCTTCCTGCCTCCATTTTGAAGCGGCAGCAGCTCCCAGGAGTTGGCACCACGCCCGCTCCCGGCATTTGCGGAGAATAGGGAAGAGAAATCCAGGGAAGCGCAGCTGGAAGAGACCCCGGGGCTGAAGGGGCTCCTCTCCACAGAACCCCCCCAAAACCAGGGAGAGCAGGGGCGGGGGGGTGGGATGCGGAGGGACATCCCACTGGAGTTCCTGGAGGCGCGTGCCGGGCGGCACATCCGGAGGGTTGGGAATTTCAGCGGTGGCTCCGTGGTGGGGCCAACGCTCCAAAGGAAAGAAGTGGGAGTGAATCCCAGGAAAGCTGGAGACTTTGGATGGGTAAATCAAGAGGAAACACACTCTGCGCCCACCAGATCCCGGATCATGGAGCGGGAGATTCCGGCTGGGATGAGACACCACCCAAGGCACCAGGATCACGGGAGAGGAAGTTCCATTCCCATGCCACCATTTCTTTGGATTAAGGGCATGGATGCACTGCACGGAACACCAAATCCTACTGCCTGCTCAGGATTTGGGAATGAGGCTCCAGGTGCTCTCCTCATCCCAGAGAGGGAGGGTCAGGGATACAGGGAAGAGGCTTTGGAAAAGCCCGAGAGACGGTGGGAGGCACCACAGAATTCCAGGACAGCTGGGGGTGGAAGGGATTTTAAGGATCATCCCATTCCATGGGCAGAGACACCTTCCACAGACCAGGTTATTCCAACCCAGACGTGGACACTTCCAGAGATGGGAGTCTTTGGGAATCTGTGCCAGGGCCTCCCCAGCATATCTCCATCCCTGGAATTGTCCCAGGCCAGCTTGCAGCATCCTGGTGGGAGGTGTCCCTTCCCAGTGGAAGCGCTGATCCTCAAAATCCCTTCCAACCCCAACCATTCCATGGTTCTCCATCCATCCATCCATCCCAGCCTCATTCCCAATTTGATGGCAAATCTGGATCTAGGGACATCAATATCCATCTGGAAAACCCGAATTTAGCAACTCCCTGACTCACCTGGGAGGTTTGAGGAGATGGTGAAGAATGATCCCGGAAAAACACGCCATTCCGGAGCAAATCCCACCACACTGGAGCCATTTTGGGAGCAAATCCCAAACACCTTTTCTTTAAATTCCTGGGGATGGAGCCTGGGTTTGCTTCCATCTGAGCATCCCGGAGTGCTCCTGCTGGATGGACCCCAGTGTCTTGTGGATTCAAAGCTTCCCAAATTAAGGATGAAGAGCCTTGAGAAGTCCTATCAGCTACCAGGTGAACCGGGAGTGGGATATCCGTCTCCGGTGGGAATCACCAAGCACCAGGAGATGCCTCCGGGATCCACCCTGGAACAGCTGCAGGTGTTTGGGAACCCAACCCAGCTGGAAAATTAAGAATTATGGAGTCCCAACTCCTGGCCCCGTGAGGACAACTCTAAAATCCCACCTGGGAGCGTTGTCCAAAGGCTCCTGGAATGCCGGTGCCATGAGCACTTCCCTGTTCCAGTGCCTGACTACCTCGTGGGGAACCTTATCCCAAAATCCAACCTATCCCCTGCCACAGCTCCAGCTGCTCCCTTGGATCCTCCCACCGGTCACCTGCCCTTTGTGCCACAACTTCCTTGGTCACGACAGGCCTCGTTCTTCCCGCTCCGGCCTCCGGAGCCCGGGAATGCTGCACCCACATGGACAAACAAGACGGGGGGAAAACTCCAATAGTAATTAAAAAAATACTCCCTAAATCCCATTTTTCCTCCTTTCCAACCCCTGAGGGACACACTCCGTGCTGTCCTCGCTCTTCCCCATCCGGCTTGGGACAAAATCCCTCAGTTCAGTGCAAAATTCCCTCATTTCAGTGTGAAATTCCCTCATTTTCAATGAAAATCCCCAAAGTAACCCCCCCCTCCAACCCGCTCCAGGTTTCCAGCGCTTTTCCAACAGCAGGTCCCTTAATTTGGGCCACATGTGTCCGGGGGAGCGGGGGGAGAGGAAGAGGAGCGGGCCGCGGGGGCGGCGGGCACGGATGAAAAGCCAGGGAAGCGCATTCCCGGCGCGGGCTGGAAGGGGCCGGAAGGAAAAGGCACCCACCCACCTCGGCCTGACCTGCGAGGGCCCCAATCCCAACCAGATGTCGGCGCTTCCAGAGCCTTCTCCCGGCACAAACACTCCCAGGGCCAGCAAAGGTAATTGGGAGCAGCTGAGCTCTGGCGCAGAGCAGCACATGGAAAAAAAAAACCCCGGAGCCCGGAGCGGGATGAGATTCCAGGCCCTGCCGAGCGCAGTGGGAAAACAAGTGGAGCGGGAAGGAAAGGCACCTGTCCAGCACAGGGGGTGGAGAAGGCTGGGATCAGAACACCCAAAGCACTCCAGAACCCCGGAATTGCCGCTGGAGCCGGTTGTCCGGCACACAGTGAACCTCCCGGGATGGCAGGTTTAATCCTGGGATTATCACAAGCATGGAATGCTCTGGGGTGGAAGGGATTGAAGGATCATCCAGTTCTCTGGGCAGGGACACCTTCCACAGCCCAGGTTATTCCAGCCTACCCTTGGACACTTCCAGGGATCCAGGGGCAGCCACAGCTTCTCTGGGAATTCCATCCCGGTCTCTCACCGCCCTCCCAGCCAGAAATTCCTTCCCAATATCCCACCTAACCCATCTGGAAGCCATTCCCTGTGTCCTGTCCCTCCAGGTCCTCATTCCAAGTCCCTCACCAGCACTGGGAATTCCTGGCTGGAAGAGTCGTGAGGGACTGGGATGGAATTCCAAGAGAAGCAGTGGCTGCCCCATCCCTGGAAGTGCCCAGGGCCAGCTTGGAATAACCTGGACTATGGAAGACGTGTGGGCTGGGAATGAGATGATCCTTCCATTTCCCCTATCCCGGGATTCTCCGCTCCCCCCTGGAATGCCATCCCAGCACCCCCCAAACATCAGCTGCTTGACTTTTCCTCCCTTCTCCCACTCTCCGGGATCCTCCAAAGCCGCAGATCCTGCTGGCTCAAATGTTTTCCAGATGGGAAGGCCGAGCCCTGCACTCGGAAACGCCTGGAGTTAAAAAGGGGTCAAGGAAATTAGAGAGGGAAGAAAAAAATTCTGCCCTGATGTCATCCCTGCGCAGCAGGACACGGCTGGAAAAGCAACACGAACGGCCCAGAGCCGCAGCTTTTCCAGCCACACTCTGCTTCCTGATCCTTCACAAGATCATGGAATGGTTGGGCTTGGAAAGCCCATCTCGTTCTGTAAGGACACCTTCCACTCTCCCAGGTTGCTCCAAGCCTTGTCCAGCCTGGATTGATTTCTCCATCCAAGGTCATTCCCAAAGCAGTCCAGGAGCAAAATCACCCCCCAGCCAGCTCAGGTGGATTCTGCTCCAACACATCCCTAATTCTGGGATCCTGGAAAACCAGGAGGCTGAGCTCGCTGAATGGTCCCAGCATGACACTTCCAACAGGGATTAGGGAAGGAAAAGAGAGAGTGAGAGGAATGACAACAGGAAAACACCAAGGAATGGGTGAGGAGATTGGATCCACCCCTGCCAGGGCTGGCCAACCCTTTCCAGGCAGGAATTTTCCCTCATGTCCAACCTAAATCCCTGCAGGAATGGAGACTCCATCCCTGCCCTGGGCACCCTTTCCACAGTGTTGGAGTTGGCTGCCCCATCCCTGGGATTGTCCAAGGATAAGGCTTGGAGCAACCTGGTCTGCGGAAGGCGTGGGGTGGAACAAGATGATCCTTCTGGTACCTTCCCATCCAAGGCACTTCCTGATCCCACAATCCCATGAAATGAAAGTCTGATGAGCAGAAAGGATCCCAAACTGGGCTGAACCTTCCCAGAGTCAGATTTTTAGGAAGAGGCGGGTCCTGTTCCAAGCCCAGCACCTCAACCCCACCCCGGGGGATGAATCCTGAGCCGTGCCCTCAGCACAAATTCCCTCTGGTCCGGGAAGGGCGGGAACGTGGCTCCGGCACTTCCAGGTGCCGAACACCGAGGGAAGCGACCGTTCGCTTTCTCCGTCAGCAGAGACGTCGGGATCCGTTAATAAATCCATTGGCAAACCCTCCTCTGATCCAGGGAGACAGCCCCAAGTTCCAGGAAAAGAAATTATCTCTAATTACCTGGAATTGCTGTCTTCCTCCCGCTATCAGCCCCAATTATTCCTGCCTAATCAGCCCTTCAGGGATGTGGCGCCCGGGAAGGCCGAGAGGCACTTAGAGCAGCGACTTTTCCCTCTT